CTGTATTTCATTTATGTTTTAAATTTGGATCCATAACAATGGTTTTACCCTCTATAATCGGTGCAGTTCAACCTATTCACTCAGCAGATGCAAGATGGTTGGGGACTGGCAACTGATGGAAAAATCTTGTATGGAAGTGATGGTACTTCAACTCTGTATCAGATTGATCCTGACACATCAAAAGGTTTATATTTTCTACAATATAGTTAGTATCAGTTCTCTTTCCTCTTTTTAACTGGAGTCTTTTTTTCACCTGTTGGTCTCAACTCCAAAAGTTATCTATGAGCCTCAACATCTTGTAGTAAATGACTAAATGCTAACATCCTCCTTTTTGCCCACCTTCTTTGATTCTATGACTCTTTTATCTCCTTAAATATGGTCAATTGGTAGAACTTTTAATATGATCCTCAGTTAGCTTTCCCAGGAAGAATTCTATTTGCATTATTGATGATTTTTTTTTTTTGTTCCTCAATGCAGTCATAGGAAAACACATTGTCAAAAACAATGGGTCATTATGTCCGTTACCTCAATGAGTTGGAGTACATAATGGCGAGGTCTGGGCAAATGTTTATCAGGTATAAACCTATTTTGTACTCACAACTCTTATATTCTCTCATTGAGATTGTTGTTTCTCAGGAGCTTTGATCGCGCTCCTTTTTTTGTATGATGACACTCCTCTTTAGAGTACTCTCAAAGCTTTTTCTTCTACTTTTTTTTTCTTTTTTACAATTGTAATTTTAGGGGAAAGAAAAAGGAAATGAGCACAGTTTATAGACCAAGAGAAACACCTATAACTTGTAAATTAAGTACAAATATTTAAATAATTTATGAAACTCAAAGTTCTGACAAACACTACTTAAATATTAAGACTTAAAGATAAACAGTAAACTCGAAGAGCCTGTTCTAGAGTACTCTCAAGGCTGAGCCGTTTTATGAAACTCCGTTCTATGTTGACTTTTAAAGACAGAGCTAGCATACCAAAAATGGTATTCCTGTAACACACAAACAGAACTATATTTTTAGAGATTTTAGATATTTAAATTCTAAAATCACTCTCTTTTAATTAGCTAGAGAACAGGTCTTCAACTTGACCTCTTCAATCGGCAGCTTGTCTTCGGGGAACGGGCAATCGATCTCTTTTTCACTCGCCGGTAATGCACTACAAGCTGGAGGAGTCACCCTGCTTGTAACTCCGGCAACATCAGTACAATTCCATTGCACCTCTTTTGGCTTCTCCGTTAATGAAATTGTCACATTAGAAATGCAAATGGCCGTAAATGGATCGTTCTCAATCCCATCCAGCCTTGCCGAATACGTTACATTTTCCGCCACCATGTCTCTGTAATTTATTCCTTTGATTTCCGGTAATGCCTTTGGATCCCAACCGGGGTTGGGATGTGAGCCGTAGTCTCCAGTTATCCAGAACACGTACTTCATGGTC